AGTCGACACTGGCCGGCTGATGGAATTCGGAGGAGGCCTAGTCTGTGGGATCTAATTGGTCTAGTGGAGGTAATTGGCATGTTGGCATGTAATTGGCATTATGTTCTACATTCTCACCATAACTCTCTCTGCCACTTCAGGTTTTCTTTTTTTGTATGGCAACATCCACAACTAAGTCCTGAAGGCTTTAATCTAGCCACATCTTAAACACCATGAGTACTTCTCATAATATATTGAGTGTCATCTGACATGAGAGACCCATCATCACTCATTTTATCTTGCTGTTTATGGGATTTCCTTTGTAGATAATCATTGGCTTATCCCATGCAGTATTAAGTTACACCCTTGCCATTGTCACTAAAATGATAATCTGCCTGCAGCATTTTATCATATTATAACTGCCTATATTGCTGTTCTGCTTTCTTTAGCTGGGAGCTTGGATGACCTTCGTGTCTTGAGCAATCGTGCTGAGAATTTATTCTCTTGGCATATTGTCTCAGTGTTCTTTGCTCATCCTTCCCAAGAACACACACAGACCCAGTAACACTTGCCACAGTGAGATTGCATAGCAGGATTTAAATTCTACCAGGTTTTTCCATCCCCCATTTATCACCAATAGCGGAAAGTAGGTCTGCAACTAACCTAATAATTATTCTAATTGCCTCAAAAGCTAGTGCAAGAAATAAAACTAATCCTCTAGGTACTGCTCTTCACAACATGACCAGCTGCACAGCAGGATCCCAGGTTTATTAGCTCAGTCTTTCCCAACTTTGTGTTCTCTAGATATTCCAGAAAATTCAGCAGTGACTACCTATTGGTAGGGGAATTCTGGGAGTTGAAGTCCATATCTCTGGAGGATGACCACTAGGGGATAGCTGTTTCAGATCTCTAATAAAAATAACCTGAGGCTTGACTTGACTTACAGCCTACCATTCTTGGCCACTAACCACATCAGCTGAAAAGGAGGAAAGTACCAAACTAAACAAGCCAAGGTTCATCCAGAATGAAGGATCTTTGCGGACTGAATCTTGGCCTTTCATTTTTTGTATTTTCTTCAGGATTTTAACTCTACCAGGGGAGACACCAGAATCAGTGTCTGGTCCACCAGAGGAGGAGGAAGCAGAAGATTTCACAGAGGAAGATAACATGATATACATAGACGACCTGCGAGATGAAAATTATCAGCCTTCCTTGGATAGGTAATGAAATTAGAAGATTTTAAATGCAGCAGAGTCCACTTCAGTGTGCATAATGAGAGATCCACAAGGAAGTACCTCCTTTAATCATTTGGGTACCACTCATACCAGGTAACCCATGGAATAAAAGAGTTCTTCCCACTCTTAGCAACTTAATGGTATATGGACTTCAACTCCTGGAATTGTAGGAGTTGAAGTCCACATATCATCTTAAAGTTGTCAAGGTTGAGAAACATTGGGACAGGACATCTCAAATGAACACCCAGGCTAAGTGATTTTAAAAATACAGACCAGTTAAAATTAAATAAATCAATAGCAAGGCAGGAAGTGATTTAGCACTGCCTACCTTCAGGATATTTTGCAAATTTCCCATTCAATTTATAGTCCTGGGATTTCTTGATAGACTTCCATCCAAGTATAACCAGGTCTTTCAAGAACAGTCAAGATCAAGTAGGTGCTGTCATCCTTTGGAAAATCCTTTGACTTTTATTTGGGATATAACAGGGTTACGATAAGACACTGCAATATAAATGTCATTGGACTCAAATAGTTATTTACAATGTCCCAGATCTATGTCTTTTTAGTTATTGGTTACAAAAGATGGCCTATAACCACTACTTTATCCTTTTACTTTATGGTGCCACACTATTTTTCAAACTAAGGACTTTATGGCCTTTTAGAGCTTAACCATTACACCAAACTGACTCTTAAAAATGTAATTACACTGGTCAACAAAAAATGATTACCTTTCACATAGTTAATAGTGTTCTATCATTATTATCTTAAGAATTATAGTGTGTCAGGGAACAATCTAATCAATGCATTTAGAGCCATGTTCTACCCTGGGGTTTCAGGTTTTGCACCTCTGTCTTAAAGATTAGAGTACCATTAAAATAGAAATGCAGACTAGAAATACTAGTCTGCAGTATGAAGTATTTGACCTATTCAAGTCCTAGACAGGTTTATTCGCTTCCTTTATTTTTCTGCCCGCTTTCCAGGGAGTTCCTTTCCCCATATTTGTCAGCCTGAAGACCCTGTGTAGAAATGTTTGTTTTTATTATTGACTGATTTGAGTCATTGATTGATTCTATGTTTTTTATTGCCATTTTAGCCCAGTTTTCATGAAAAGCAATCCCAATCTCTCTTTCTAGCTGCAAGAAGCAGGCACAGCCAGGAGATGAAGACGTGTCCCAAATTGGTCCTAAGAGAATCAGGTAAGTTCAGGTCCGTGGTTGCTCATGATCTCCTCAGCCAACGTGAGCCAAAAGTAGAAAGGGAAGATTATAGTAAGTTTAGGTAGGTTGATTAAAGCTGCAAGGCTGGCAAAGATTATTGACTTGTCTGTCTATTTATTGTCTATCTTTCTTGTCTATCCATCCATCCTACTTACAAATTGCAGTTTATATGCTGTTTAGTCCAACAAGCTCAAAGCAGTTTGCAACAAAAAATAATGCGTCATTAAATAAAAACCATCATTAGCAATAACACTTAGACTTATTGGCTGCTTTACAGCTCACTCTAAGTGGTTTACAAAATCAGCAACAATCTGGGTCCTCATTTTACCAACCTCAGAAAGATGGAAAGCTGAGTCAACCTTGAACTGGTCAGGATCAAACTGAAGGCAGTTGGCAGAGTTAACTTGCAATACTGCATCCCAACCATTGTGCCACCATGGCTCTTGCTCCTTAGAATAAGACGGAGCAGCTGCACTCAAAGGAACAACGACAAGATCCAAAGAAGGAGAAGAGCAGCTAGGAAGGCCCACAGTAACTTTTCAAGAATAGGAAAACCAGAAACTATTTAAAAAAATCATATCCATGAAACCTTTACTAATAATACAAAAGTTATCAAAAACCTAATGGATTATTGTAATTGCCTTCTCTTTGGAATCATGGAGACTTCAATAGTTACAGACTGAAAACATCTAGTGAAATATTTTGGGAAGAGCTGCTTCCCCCAAAACTGTTAATTAATCGATTTTGCTATCAAATTAATTTGATTAAAATCACACTGGTTGTAGTTTAAGTAAAATGAGAGACCGCCTCCTGCCGATTACCTCTCTCAGACCAATTAGATCGCACGGGTGGGGCCTCCCCCGGTTTCCATCTGCCAGCCAATGTCGGCGGGCGACTCCCCGGGGGAGGGTCTTCTCTGT